AATTTTTAAAATAGCTAGCATGTTAAAAAAATCAATTTAAACAATTTTTCATTCAGTTTTTTTTTAAGTTATAAAAAAAATTTATCAAAAAATATATCACACTAAAATTATTTTTTTAATAAAAAACTGAAATACAGACCTTAGAGCATAAATATCGTTGTGGCTTATGTCTATGTGTACTACTGTAGTCAGAGTAGTATTGATAATAGAAGACAAATGATAGTAGTATTAATTGGCACCGTATCCAAAAAAAGGATCGGAGCTTTTAATAAATATATTAGCTTGTAGCATGTATAGCTGTTGGATTAAATTTTCAAATAACATGTTACTGTTGGATTAATTTTGTGGGACCCATGTTAGAGTTTTAAGTAAGTAGTATGGATATTTAGAAAATATAATTAAGTGGTTTAAATAATTGAGAAGTGTAAAGTAATATATTATATTAGATGGGACCCACTTATACTATTAATATGAGTAGTATGGATGTGAATGTTCTTATATCTCTCTTTTTATCATGTTAATCTTTGTTTTGGTTTTTCTTTTTCTTTTTTTCCATTTGTGTAGAATATTGATTTTGATGACTCGATAAGATGAGTTTTAGTTCCATATTTTTTAATAATTCTTTGAAAAATATATTGGACTTTTATTATTCAATATAATATTCTTTTGATTTTATTTTATTTTACTTTTTTTTCTTCCGATAATAACATCTTTTTTCGTCTTGATTCTAGTTTAGATGGTAAATAAAATTGGATAACTAAAGCCGTCAGAGTGCCGTGCTTAAGAAATTTAAACTAATCACTTTTTTACAGAATTTAAACTAATCATCTTTTTTTTACAGAATTTAAACTAATCATCTTAAAACTGATACAAGTTTTAAAAATGAAAATCAGTTTTAAAAAATAATTAGTTTTAAACCAGATATGATAAAAATGGGATCATATGGTTTTATGATAAAAATGGTTTGGTTATAAATCAAAACCAACAAAAATTGCAAATGGCAATGCAAAACTATTCATAAATTAAAGTGAATGGTTAATATGACAATGGTCTTCCCCTTGACTAGGAGGATCAAGCAATAAAAATGACAGTAAAATTGGAGTAGTAAGATTCACTACTTTTTTGGTTTGGTAAAAATTAACAATGTCTTTTTTTTTCCTTGATGGATATTATGATAAAGAAATTAGTAGTGTTTTCTATATATAGAAAGCTAGTAACCTGCAAGTTTTCACCCCTAAATATATGCATCGACAGAAATTAACTGTTATTCCTAAAAAAGGCATCCGAATTTGGCTTCTAAATATATTTGTTTGTGTCATGATATATAAAGAATAATTATATCAATTGTTCATTGAGACTGTTTGATTACCTTTATCATTGCAGGAAGGAAGAGGGTTCTTGCCATTTGACGGAGAACCATCATGGTAAAACTGTATCATCTCTTCCTTCTGACTATTTTTGTGGTAATCATACCAACATTAGTGCATGCTAACGTCAAAGAGCAAGACGGATATTGGGATTATATATTTCCATCGATTAATGATACATATTGGCGGGCAAAAGCAGCAAGAGCTCAGGAAACAAACGACAAAGCTTATACTCCTGACCCATATGCAGTCTCCGGAAACATGACTTCTAACGTTAGCGGGTGAGACTTGTGCCAATTAGCATATTTACCAATATGTTTAATTTCATGGAAGAAATTCCAAGCCATGTTTAGTTTCAGAAATTATTTTCCGTTTTTATTTCAAAAAAATTTGTTCTTATTGCAAAACTGCATCCTTGGTTTCACTATATACCTGCATAAACTTTGAAAACACCAAGCATAGTGGAAGCAAAAGAGAATTTTGTGAAAAACAAAAATGGAAACAGGAAATATTATCTTAAACAAATCAAACACTTACTTATGATGCAATTGGCTACTATATATTAATAATATTACATGTTTCTTTGTTTTTCTCATAGAATTAGTTATAAGTGTGATATGTATTATTTTAATATTTATGGGTTTGATTAATAGAATGATAATTGACGGCAATAAAGGAAGAAGGAATCTTATGGGAAAAAAACTAGCCAATGCCGGTCCATGTATGGCTACAAACCCCATTGACAGGTGTTGGAGGTGTGATCCTAACTGGGCAAATAACCGCAAGAAGCTTGCAGATTGTGTGCAAGGTTTTGGAAGGAAGACAACGGGTGGAAAAGATGGTCCTATCTATGTGGTAACTGACCCCTCAGATAATGACATGGTTAATCCACGTCCAGGTACCCTTAGGCATGCAGTTACAAGAAATGGACCTTTGTGGATCATCTTTAATCATAGCATGAACATTAGGCTCAACCAGGAACTCATAATGACAAGTGATAAGACCATTGATGGACGAGGAGGTGATGTTGTCATTGCTAACGGTGCTGGTATTACTATCCAGTTCATCAATAATGTGATCATCCACGGGATCAAAGTTTTTGACATTCAGATCGGCAGTGGGGGCCTTATTAGAGATGCTGAGAACCATTTTGGTCTAAGGACTATGAGTGATGGTGATGGAATTTCAATTTTTGGCTCCAGCAATGTTTGGATTGACCATGTTTCCATGAGAAACTGCAGAGATGGACTCATTGATGTCATCATGGGATCCACCGCTATTACCATCTCCAATGGCCATTTCACAGATCACAACGAGGTAATTAGTAATTTGGTAGTATTATTTTACATGTTTTTTCTTGTAAAGATTTTTTATTACTGGATTTGAAAATAAAAACATTACCTGATTTTGGGTTTTTTTGTTTATTTGTGTATATGCGGTGTAGGTGATGTTGTTTGGTGCAAGTGATGGCTATGATGGTGATCAGAAAATGCAGATCACACTTGCATTCAACCACTTTGGTAAGAGATTAATCCAAAGGATGCCAAGGTGTAGATATGGTTTTGTCCATGTGCTTAACAATGATTACACTCACTGGGAAATGTATGCCATTGGCGGTAGTAAACATCCTACCATTATAAGTGAGGGTAACCGATTCATAGCCCCTAACAATGGCTATGCTAAAGAGGTATGTATCTATTCCCGAGTCATGCTTAGACATACAAATATATGTTTTGCAAGTCCTAGTCATGTCTTGGTTAACACGTTTATTTGTTAAACTCTTAGTGTGACATAGTCCTAGTCATGTCCTAGTCATGTCTTGGTAAACACGTTTATTTGTTAAACTCTTAATGTTGACATATCATGTCATAGCTACTACTTGCATCCTTACTTTACAAAGCAATCTAAAAGTATTCCCTATAAAATACTATTTTGCACCTTCATTGTACTTTCAAATGACAAGATTGAACAAAACAAAGGAATAAACAGAAACTAGAATGAAAATCAAGTCTCACATTATTTTCTACTTTGATGTTGAAGATAACAAAAAGGGAGTACTCACCAGAGGAAGAGTGGAAAAACTGGCAATGGAGATCAATCAACGATGTCTACATGAACGGAGCATTTTTCAGACAAGCTGGACCTGAGCTGACTAACAGACCATTCTCAAGAAAGGACATGATCAAAGCTAGGCCTGGAACTTTTGTGGGAAGGCTTACTCGTTATTCTGGCAGCCTTAGATGCATAGTAGGAAAGCCTTGTTAGTCTTCAAAATTCCCTTCCTGAAATCAATCATCTTTGAAGCACAAATGGCTTTGTCAAAGGAGAACAAGCAAGATGTGTCATTTGAAACATGAAATAGCTTTTTCTTGTTTGTTTTTCCTCAATTTTACATGTAAGAAACAAATCTTGGAATATATGTTCAATTCATTACAAAACTTTCTCATTCTACAATCCATACATTCTTTGAAATTATGTAATGAATCATCACAAAATTGTTTCTCTCCTCAGTTCACATATTCTTTAAAAAAAACTATACATGGAAATTCTTTTTTCGAAAAGCGAGAAGAAATATTCTAAAATGAAATTAAATGAAAAATAATTTGGCGTAGAAAACGTTTCACAAAATTAACATGTATGTAATCCATTGTTCATATGCATGGATATTTTCGAATTGCTTAACATAGATAATCTTAAGCTTGCAAGGGGATCACTTTGGCAGTAGAATGAATGCTAGACTTTGTGTCACTCCCTAATTACTGGATAACAATTAGGCATAGGAACTAGAGCATTTTAAACAAAAAACAGAAGCATTGTTTCTGCTATTCAATCATATTATTGACCAAGTTGAAAATTGACAAGAGGAAACTAATAAGAGCTTCTTTTGAAAGAAAACTGCTATGAAATAGCTTAACAACCTTTATAATTGACATACAGAAATAATCATGTAAAAAGCCAAGTCCAGTTTTTGTCACTATAGGTTCCTAGCTGCCTGCTAAGTCTAAGGTGATCTCCCCTCATAAAATTCATTGGTGTTGTCTTCAAACTGACTTGCTAAATCATATTGACACCCTTACGATAACATTACCTGGCATCAGGAAAAAGATTTGAATCCCGTACATTCATACGATTTAAGCCATTGACTCAGACATAAACAACAAATTGAATTTAAAACTTGACTTGAAATACAAGTCATCTGATGCCAACTAATTTGTAATGGACAACTGAGATACACAACTTCATCAATTTGACAATCCTGTTATATCCCGCATTATTCGAATAAGTTTTTGATGTGTGATTAATAACATGTATAAATTCAACTACTCTTTCCATTTCAACAATTGCGAACCGTCTGCCTATGGTTCCAACGTCTATTTTTTCCAACTAAAACCAAATATCTAATATAGTAGCAACTAACCTGAATTCTATCCTTTCTACTGATTTGAAAATCTCAATTACAGCCGCATTTTCCTGCAATTTTTCCTCAATATAAATCTTCACAATATAACTCCCAATGAAATTTAGAACAATAGGTGCAATGAAAGAAAAAAATCACTAATTTATAAAAAAAGACAACAAATACATAAAAATTCTTGATGAATTCAAAATTTACAGTCAAATGTGAAGAGCAATTCAGGTGAAGAAATCCTGAATCCCTTTGCCTGCAAAAACCTTATCAGAAAGCTCAGCTAAAACAGCATTAACAGTGAGCAAAACAACGCTAGAACCAAAGATAACGCTAAGAACAACACCGGTTGTTCCCAAAACCTTTCCGAACTCAGGCCACTCGATTTCGCCGATCTCTTTCACCACTCCGTTCCAGAAATTGTCGCCTTCTTTATCCTTCCTCTCTTGCATCGCTTTCTTCAATTCCGATGCTAATTCGGACTCATTAAACTCCGGTTCGGGTTTGGGGCTGGGTTGATTTTTTTCCTCGACGGCGCGTGTAACTATTGGTGGTATTCGGCGGCGCGTGAGAGTGAGAGAGGGTTGTGAGGGTTTGAGTTTGAAGTTGAAGATTTGTGGAGGGAGGAGAGAAGAAGATGATGGAAAATGTGGGGAGTATGTGAGCGCGAAACTAGTGTTCGCTTGTAGCACCATCTTTGTTTGACTATCGAATAGTTTTTGGATAACACAAAACACTGGCGCTTCTTTTATTTGCTTCTAAAGTTGTTGAGTTAATCAATGGGATATTTTTATTTTTAAACAAAATGTCAGCATTGCTTGGGCTAAAAAAATTCAAACAAAAAATTGTAAAGCATCAAATATAGAATTTTTTTTAAATAACAAGGTATTGAAAAAATATATATATAAATAATTATATTTTAGAGAAAATTACGCAAATAACTATGTTTTGGAAAAGACTAACGAAGAGGAGTCAGATGAGTTGATGCATCCACTTAAAATTGGTTTTAGGTGTCATCCTACATGGCATATGCAGTACCTTCAAGCCATGTGAGATGACGCATGCACTCTCTTTTTAGGAGGAGGTGTCATCTCATCTAGCTCCTCCTTGTATCTGTATTTTCTATAAATAAGACTCCCCCTTTTTCTCCATCATTCTTCACACTTTCTCACAATCTCTTCTCATTTCCTCTCAAATTTTTTCACCATGACATTTGAGGTAATTTTCACAAGAGATGACTATGGTTTTTTCTCGGCCATCAAACCGCTGATTAAAATGAAATTTTGGAACAGCAATTCCATGAAGCGTCTTAAGAGAGAGTTGAAGCGTTGGTTAGACGGGGACATTCAAGATGGTGAACAAATTAGAAGAATCCAGAGAAGAAGAACGACCACCTCACTTGCAACTGAAAAACCTCACAGTTGGTTGGAGGAAGTCAAAACAGACAAAGACGTAATAGTGATGATGCATGGATCTGATGAAATTATTTTGACGGTTGTAATTTCTTAGATATTTTGTCGTGTTGTTGATATTATTTTTATGTGGCGTATGTGTTGTTGTTCTAGTCGTGATGTCATTTTATTTGTTGTTTGCATATGTTTTGTTGTAACAAATGTTCTTAATGAAAAAAAATTATGTTTAGATCTTAAAAAAGTGCAAATAGTGTGCATACAATATTTATGTTGTTGAGCTAGTAGTACGAGCGAGACAATTTTTCGATTGTGTCCGATCTGACGGTATAAACCATACTTTCTTTCTAGTTTGTCAAGTGCTTCCATTTCAGTTGTGATACGCTTGCTTTTAGGTCTGTCCTTTTTATTCCTTCGCATTTGATTAGTGTGCCAAACTATTTCCCCTTTGTACGCAGGCCGATAATCCTCTTTTGCTACCATTGGAAATTTGTTGTTGTATACTTTGAGCGATGTCTCGGTCTTGTAAGCGAGAGATAGAAGTAGTAATGCATCTTGATGAGCATACCTACATGTTGCGATGACATGGGAGCAAGGCATACAAAAGGCTTGAAATTTTCTGCAATCGCACCAACAAGATGGTAGTAGAATCCTATACTCTTGTCTTGGAAGCCCCTCGTTGTGGTCGACTATCTCTTTGATAATGAACTTATGGTTATATCCATCAAATCTTATAACGTGATGAGTGTTGACTTTGGCATTCTTTGCCTTAATAAATTTCATGTAACTTTCACTCTACAAATGTCCCGATTATAGCATCGTGTTCCATTTTCACCTCATTTCGCAAACAACAAATTCATCCTAAAATATGTTGATTTCACCAAAGTGGTTACGGGGAGGTTTTGTATGGATTTGAAGACACTGCTTATTGATTCAACAAGATTTGTTATCATATGGCTCCATCATTGTTCATTGTTGTATAACCTCGTCCATTTCTCCATTGGAAGATTATAAATCCACCTACCCGCATCTGGATTTGACAATCTGATCTCACTATGATAATGTTTGAATGGTGGTTGAGCTAATGCATACCCCGCGTTCATAACTGTTTTCTGAAGAGATATTGTTGGCTGAAGATTTTGATGATACAGTTCGAAATGAAGCAATATGGATGTTTCGTTGGAATAAAGCAAAATGTTACAGTTCGGAATGGTAGAAGCGGTTCTTCGAACGGACATATCAAAGCTCGGAGCTTCGAGTGACAGTTGTGAAGATATATTTGAAAGAAGCCTCGAAGTGGTAATGAGACTGTGTCTGTGAAATGAGTTTGAAGCGAAGATTGCCAAGGCATTTGAAATTCAAACGCGAGCGGGATGTTGGAATTCAAATATATATGCGTTGGAGCGTTCGAAGACGCGTGGAAGCTAGAGAGGAGCAGTGCTCTGCATGTTCCGAACATGGCAGAATCTTATAAGCAAGACCGTTATGGTCGAAGTAGTATAAATAGAAGTCTTAGCGTTAGGATTTCGTGTGTCATATCTATTGTACAAAATTCAGTAAACATTCAAAATACCACATGGACAGGGAAACGAATGCTCGAACAATGTACGTATGATAACACCAAACATCTATAATTCAGTAAAACTCTTTATCTTTTCCAGTTTATCTTCCATTTTCATGTCAATGTCATTCAAATACCTTTACATTCAAAGTCATTTACTTATTTCTTGCATTTAAACGCTTTTCTTCTATTCGAATCCTTTACATTTCAGAAACTCTTTTACATTTCATGCTTTTATATTCATGCTTTTTACATTAAAGTCTTTACATTCAAAGTCATTTACTTATTTCTGCATTTAAACATTTTTTTGCAATTGAATCTTTGTTCATTCAATTCAGTTTCGTATTTCTTTACTTGATCATGTCATTAGATTCTTTTAACATGGTAATCAAAGTGAATTGAACGTCTATAAAACATTCTAAATACAAATCCTAACTATGAATATCAGTTTTGCAATTAGATTTATCCAAACGACCAATACCCCATAGGATCAATCTAGTCGATTCTGCAAGTTACCAGAGAGATTAAATAACAGTCATTAAGATTATTTGATAGTTTGGAGGACTAGCGGTTGTTTACCAGAAATCACTGTAAACAAATTGGCACACCTGATGGGACAGTCATTGGTCGTTACGAAATTTAAAACAAAGTAAAGATTGTTAGGATATAATCATTGTAAAAGTTCTTTCTGAGTGATAAGTTCGTTGTTATATGAACCTTAGAAGTGGTAGAATAACCAATAGCAACCAACCCTTACCCAGAAGAAAACGTAATAACAAGATGTCTAATCCAAACAATCAACAAGGGGAACAAAATGCCCCACATGGAACAGGCACTAATATGTCTGCTTCGACAGGAACGTCTAATGCGATCCCTTCGAGCGTACAGTCTATTGCATCCTCTACCAGTAGTGTAGCCACGAATGGAACAAGTGGCATGTCGACTAACAGTTCGATCCTAGGAAATACAGGAACCACTGGTATCCTGGGGGATTCGTCCCACCATCAGGGACACAAACCCATTTCGCCACTCCACTAACTAGACCACCCGGTTTCGATGGTAACAGACACAAAAATCCCTCTTATGGGATGCCAACATCTTTTATGGCGGGTCTGCACACTTCGACATCGAATACATCACCACAATTAGGGTCTGGATCTGGGGCTAATCAATTTATGACAAATAACCAAGGGTCAGTAGGTTATAGTGCATTGCCTATCTTAACCACAGAAAATCAGATGGCTTTTAGGCAATTAATGGATGATAGTAACCATAATATGATAAGAGTGTTAGCACAAACTATGCAAGAGATCTTTGCCCCAATAGTACAAAACGTAACTGTAACCAACAGAGAAAACGCAGACAACATGAGTCGAATAGCAGATTTTTTCGCTCCGCCAGAAAGGCGTAGGCAGAATCGGGTGGGGGTTCGAGCGAACATGCCCATCATAGAGCAAATTGCTGATGACCCACCCTATAGACCATCCAGAGAGGGGGTTAACTTGGGGGAAAGGGCACAAAGGTTAGAAGCCCCAGTGATTCGAGACCCACAAAGGGAAATTATGGAACCAGGGGCAAGGGTCGAAAGGTTAGAAGTCCCAGAGTTTCGAGAAGAACAACCTAGAGGAGTTGTCATGGTGGGACGACACCAAGATGCTGATGAAGTCGTTCATAGAATTCGAAATGACAACATCTTGGCAGAAAATAATTTAACCATCATGATAGAAAGGATTATGGCTCAAAACGGTCTCAATACAGGTATTAGAAGGCCAAACTATTCCTCTCCCATAATAGATTATGTGATGCACACTGATTTACCAAGGGGATATAAAGTCCCTAAATTTACAAAGTTCGTTGGAGACACCAATGAATCAACAGTCGAACACATAGCCAGGTGTTGTACCCCAAAATTTGCCCTCCCATATTTCTCAAAACATTTCAAGAAAATTCACAAGTCCAACCCGGCGCGTTATATTCAGGTGTTCTTTCGCCAAGATATCTCTGATAACATATTCTCAAATTCAGGTTCGGCTCAAGAGTCAATTCTTTAAAGAAGGTATCCGAATGTGTGAGTTTTCTCGAAGAAATATGGTGAAAAAGTGTGCTGAAAGTGCAGTTTTTACGCGCTAAAAAATTCATAACTTGAAGATCTTGGCTCGTTTTGAACCCGTTCCGGCGGCCAAAATTCCGTCTTGACATTATCTACGTTTTCATCTCTCACGGCTGGAAGCCAATTTCGATCATAAGGTCTTCAAAAATGTGGATTTATCAAGTATTTTCATACAGAAAATTTGTGACAGAAGTTTATTTGCGTCATGTTCAGAAAATCATAACTTGGTCGATTTTCATCGTATCGAGCTGGTTCCGGTGCCAAAATTTCACAAATTGAGTTGGCTACATTTTCACAGAAGGTATTGAGTTCAAACGGTATTCAAAAGGCCTTTGTTTTTTGCTCAGAGTGCGTGACATGCTGAAAATCCTGAGTGCTGAATATCATTTCATCTGGGCCGAAACTTCGAAAATTCATAACTCAGTCAATTTTTATCGGATTGGGCTCATATTTTTACACAAGGTCCCTGACTTGTAGATCTACAACTTTTCTTCAAAAGTCGAGACCAAATTATGCACCGATCTCCATGATCCTAATTTTCCAGTAAGGCATAAAAGCATTCAGGCCACTGATTTTCCAGTAAGGGTAAGATTGATTTGATCTCTATGATCAAAA